TTCAGTTGAGAGACATGGAAAACTGGGTGGATGGCAGTCCCAGGGGGTAGATCCAATCTGTATGCTACCTTTCCAACCTTGCCTATGACTTTGAAAGGTCCATAAAATCTTGCAGTCAGCTTAGCATTTGATCTGATAGACACAGAAACCTGCTTGTAGGGTTGCAATTTCAAATATACCCAATATCCAAGTTCAAAACTCCTTTCACTCCTATGCTTGTCAGCTTGTTGTTTCATCCTAGCTTGGGCCTTTTGCAAATTTTCTTTGAGAATAGCCACCATGGTGGACCTCTCCTTCCACCACTCACTACCCTCCCCTTCTGTCACCTTTTCAAATGTTATGGCTGGTGGTAAATAGCCATAAAGAGCTTGGAAAGGAGAACACTGCAGAGAAGTGTGATAGTTAGTATTGTACCAGTGCTCAGCCAGATGTAGCCGCTTGCTCGATGTCTTAGGTTTATGGAAAACCATGCACCTCAAATAGGTCTCCAAGCACCTATTAACTCTTTCTGTCTGTCCATCAGATTGAGGGTGGTAGGCTGAGGACATACTTAAGCTCACTTGTAATTGTTTAAACAGAGATTGCCAGAACTTACTCACAAATATCTTGTCCCTATCACTCACAATATCCTCGGGTATTCCATGGAGTTTATAGATGTTTTCCATGAAGGATTCAGCTACCTTTTCAACAGTATAAGGGTGAGATAATGCTAGGAAATGGCTGTACTTGGTGAATCTGTCCACTACCACCATAATAACTCCCTTCCCTTGTGATAAAGGCAATCCTTCAATGAAATCCATTGAAACACTCTGCCAAGCTTGTTTAGGGATTTCTAAAGGCTGTAGAAGTCCAGGATAAACCACATTTTCTTCCTTGCACTTCTGACATATATCACAAGCCCTTACTGCTGCAATCACCTCAGTTTTCATTCCCTTCCAGTAAAACAGCTACTTCAATCTGTGATAAGTCACTTGTTGGCCTGAGTGACCCCCTATAGGTGAATCATGCAATTGCCATAAGAGTCTTCTTCTCAGATCTCCTTTCAGTCCAACATATAATCTGCCCTTATATCTGATCAGGCCATCAATCACCCTCCACTGAGAAGGTGTTTCTGATGATACTAACTGCTCAGTGAGTATTTTTGCAGCTAATTCATCCCCCTCATAGCTTGTTATCACTTCTTCTATCCACATTGGTCTGACAGATGAGATTGCCAATAATTCAGCTTGTTCCTCCCCTCCTCTCCTGGATAGAGCATCAGCTACACCATTCTCCACTCCTCTCTTATATTGAATAGTGTAATTCAGGCCCAAAAGTTTAGCAAATCCCTTCTGTTGCATAGCAGTTGTTATTTTTTGTTCCAATAGGAATTTCAAGCTCTGATGGTCAGTTTTGATTGTAAATGGTCTTCCCACTAGGTATGACCTCCATTTTTCCACTGCATTGATAATGGAGAGGAACTCCTTTTCATATATGGATAACCCTAAGTGTTTTGCCCCAAATCCTTTGCTAAAATATGCCACTGGCCTCCCTTCTTGCATCAGCTCCCATACCTTTGTAGCAAGCATCAGCCTCTATCACAAATTCTTTTTCAAAATCAGGAAGTGCCAACATAGGGGCCTTACACAATGCTTGTTTCAAAGTCTCAAAAGCTGCTTCTAATTCATCATTCCACTGAAATGCCTATTTTTTTAGCATGTTGGTAAGAGGCCTACTTATGACTCCATAAGATTGGATAAACCTTCTATAGTATCCTGTAAGTCCTAGAAACCCTCTTAGTTCCTTGACATTAGATGGTTTTGGCCAAGCTGCCACAACAGCTAACTTGGATGGATCAGTGTGCAACCCTCTTTCTGAGATAATGTGTCCCAAATATTCCACTTCTTTCCTTGCAAATGAACACTTACTGAGCTTGGCTAGCAGCTGGTTCTTTCTCATAATCTCCAAGACCTCCCTCAAATGCTCCCAATGGCTCCTTACTGTTGGACTGTAGATAAGTATGTCATCAAAGAAAACTAGAACAGTTTTCCTAATTAAAGGTTTGAATACATGGTTCACGAGTGATTGAAAGGTTGCTGGAGCATTAGTCAATCCAAAGGGCATAACCCTAAACTCATATAATCCTTGGTGTGTTCTGAAGGCTGTCTTATACTCCTCTCTTTCTCTCATCCTCACCTGATGGTATCCAGCCCTTAAATCCAACTTAGTAAAGACTTTAGCATTGGCCAATTCAGAGAATAGGTCCTCAACCAATGGGATTGGGAATTTATTCTTAATGGTTATGCCATTCAAGGCCCTGTAATCTATGCAAAACCTCCAGGAATTGTCTTTCTTTGGGACAAGCAAAATTGGTGAGGCAAAAGGTGAAGTACTGTGAGTGATGATTCCAGCTGTCAGCATCTCATCCACCATTTTTTCAATTGTGTTCTTCTGCAAATATGAGTATCTATAGGGTTTAAAGTTAACTGGATTGGCACCTGGAACTAAGGGTATATTATGATCAAAGAGTCTCCTTGGGGGTAGTGTTTTAGGTTCTGCAAACAAGTCTTGAAATTCACTCAATATCTCCTTCAACTCAAAACAATCTATTTTAGTTTTCTCATTGGAAGGAGTGTTGTGACCCATACCCTGCAATAGATACCCCTGCACACCTTCCTTTTTCCATCTCCTGATCTCTTTCTTTGTAGCCTGTTGCAATGTAATGCCCTTAGTCAACCCCTTCAGTGTCACCCTTTTCCCATCCTTACAAAAGAATATTCCTGGTGGCCTGGTGTGGAGTTGGATTGGGGCATAGCAGTCAATCCAATCCATACCTAGCACCATGTCAAAACCTCCAAGCTTGAGAACCCTGAGATCCTTCTCAAACAATTCACTCTGGACTTGCCACTTCAATCCGCGGCAGATTGAGTCACAGGCTATTTTCTCTCCATTAGCTACTGTGACAATGAGAACCTTGGCTTTTTCAGGAGTGATCCTTAACTGGACAAACACTCTTGGGTCAATAAAATTGTGGGTGCTTCCACTGTCTACTAATATGGTGATTTGTTATCTACTGATAGTCCCTAGGAGTTTGATTGTGTTCATCCCTTCTCCCCCAATGACAGCACTCAGAGTCACTTCGACCTCCTCAGATTATGGTGGTACTGTGACCTCTTCTTCCTCAGGTTGGCCCTCACTGATTTCCTCCTCATTTTTCTGGATTTCAGCTCCCTCAATTATGTTGAAGGTAAGGCCCTTACACCTGTGCCCAGGGGTCCAGGGCTCAAAGCATCTAAAACATCTCTTCTGCTCTCTCAGTTGGCACTGGATTGGTAAGTATTTGAGGTTGTGGTTCTGGTGGTGTTATGGCTGGCTTGGGTTTTATTTGGCTCACTGTATTTTTGGGTAAAAGGCTTGGAATTGGGTGGGGTTCTTTGGGAATAGTAGGCTGATTTCTGGGTAGGCTGTGGGGTTGACTTCTGCTGATCATTCATCTTGAAGCCCTTCTCAAACTGGCTTGCTAACCATATGGCATCTTCCAAACTGGTGGGTCTAGATGTTCTCACAAAACACCTAATTTGTTGTTTCAATCTCACAACAAAGCTGTCTAGGAAATATTGGTCAGTCAAGTAAGGGTAAATCTGCAATAGTAACCCCTTGTATTCCTCATATTTGTCAGAAAAATCCACAACATTTCCCCACTGCTTAAAATTGGAGAAGTCTTCCATTACATCCACATTACTCCCACAGAATCTCTTACAGACTACATTTGCAAACAAAGGCCACTGGAACCCTTCCCTAAGGCCATTAAGGTATACTTCATACCATAGAGCTACCTTCCCAGTCAGATCAACACATAACACATGCATAACCTCATCCCTGGGAATCCTAGCTAGCATGAAGAACCTTTCACATCTCACCACCCACAACCTAGGATTATCATAGTAAAAAACAGGAAATTCATGTTTGTACCTCACTGTTTGCTCTCCTCCTTGGTTGTTTAGCCCTAGCCTGGCATCAAAGTGGACTCTTCTTGGCATCCAGGGTCTTTCAGCTCTCATATGGTTGATATGTGGGCCAAACTGGTTCTCTCCATGCCCTTCTTCATCATCAGAAACCTCTTGTGGCTCAGAGTGGCTATCAACTGCAGGCTCCTTGCCAGGTCTCCTGCCTAGGTCTGAACCTTCCTCCCCAGGACTGGAATGAGAAGCATGGGCCTGGCCATGAACTGAGGAAGGCTCCGGGGCTGGTGGTGGCCTATTGAGCCGTAGGAGCTCCATGATCTCATCCTTCCAGCTCTGCATATGAGCCTTCAGTTCCTGCGTATTGTCCTTCATTTCTTGCCTGACTTCTGTAAGCCCACTGTTATTCTCCATGACTATGGCTTCCAATCTGGACATCCTTTCCTCCATGGCTGCTGGGGCTGTAGTGACCATGGTGAGCTCTGATACCAAATGTCACAACTAGGGTTTGATAGCAAAAATCGAAAGCATAAAAGGGGTAAAGGAGAAGAAGAAATTGAGTAAAGAAGAAAGACTAGGGTTTGATAAATTCAACAGCATGAAAAACATCTTTACAAAAACTCCAAAAATATATCGGCTAAGCTAGCTAATACGTCCAAGACTTATTCTAACAACTTCCTGATTATTCGCTGCATTCCACTCTCAGTCATACGCATCAAAACGACACCGTCGGATGGCCCTTTATAACCGCCAAGCTCAAACGATGTCGTCCTGCCTTGCGGTTGAAACGGTCCCAACTGCTTGCCTTGCAACGACGCCGTTTCGATAAGTACTAACGGCCTTCAACTTCTCGCTTCAAGCGACACCGTTTTGGTCCTCAGACTTCGCCCAATCTTTAGGAACCCTTCCAATCATATCTCCTGCTTATGATTTCACACCCCCATATTTGATTCCATTCTCTTCACTTGCCATGGCCGTGACATTCTTCATCTGCATCACCAAGACGGAGCGGCTTGATGGGAAGCACTTGGTGTTCGACCATGTCGGCAGGGCTTGGACGATCTTTGATCTGAGGCCCTTTGATCTCCATATCTGTCGTCGTTTAGTGTCTGTTTTTATTTAGATATTTAGATCCGCTGATGATCTGTTTGATTTGAGGCCGTTTGATCGCATATCCGTCATCGTTTAGTGTCTACTTCTGTTTTTTTAATTTCCCTATCCCTAGTTTAGTATCAGACCTTTTGCTTTGCTTTCATGTGTTGAGTACTTGAGTTTGGGGTTTGTGGATTGTAGTAATGTAATGCCAAAATATGTTTATTTTTTCTTGGATGGCAGTGGACCGGATTTTGAACTACTTTACCCTTTTTTTTAGGAATGGATGATCAAAAGTTGGTTGTTTAGAGACGTGTACACAGTCAATGATGTCTCCATCTGTGCTCTGAATGCTTTTGACAGTAGCTTTGTTTTGTCTCTTGAAGTTCTTATGAACATGAAGCTCCTACCGGGAGGCCGGCGGCGGCCGGCCAGCGCAAGATAGAGAGATCAGACCACCGCTGAAATACAACAAGAACAAAGCTATTCCCACTACATTCCTCCTCCACCACTACTGTCCACTACTAAAATGTGCAGCACCCACCATTAAACACTCCCCTGAGTTCAAACTACAAAAATCACCTGCAAATAAACACTCCTGATATGAACATAGTTCAAGGTTCAAATAAGATGGAATATTGTCTCAAGAATGCTCTCAAAAGTAAAGATAGAGATGGATCAAAGTACCTTAGACCTCACGAGAAACCCCTTTTCCCGACTCCTCAAAGACTTAGAAGAATCCCATTGTAGCTTCAAGTACCTCGATGATGCAATCTACAATCAACTAGAGTCGGATCTAGTTTCCTTTGATTCAAGAACGAGTCCACGAACCTAAATCTAAGGTTGAAGAAAGGAAGATTGATTCGAGTCCACGAATCAATTTGCTAGTCGAGTCCACGACTAGCCACTAATTGAGTCCACAATTAGCCATAAGGTTTCTTGCACAAGTGTAAAGAAAAACTTAAGAATTTTATTGATTTAAAGCCTCTTCAAAACTGATATGGATGTGCCATATTTATAGGTATAGGGCAGCATTGTAATCCTAAATACAATGAGAAAAAGAGTCATAAACCTAATCTAGAAAGCAAGTAAATATAGTCCTATTTAGAAAGAGATTTAAGGAATCCTTTCTAAATACAAACTAGTGTTTTCTCTTTAATGCCAAACAATTTAAAATAATGATGACCAAAAATAATAAAGATGATTTGGGCCTAGTTTAATCTCCAATATCAGCACTTAAACAATTCTAAAAAGCCTTGAGTTCATCTTCATTGTTTGCAAATGGACTTGACTTGGATTTCCACCCGCTTTGAACATCACCAATGAAGAGTTGTCTTAATTGTTTGGACTTGGGCCTTGTGATTGGCCCAATTGGTACTCTTGATGGATCTTCATTATGTTGGGCCACATCATCCTCCCCTTCTTGAAAAATGATTCGACCTTGAATCTTATAAACATTGTCTTCGATCCATGATATCACTTGAAATTGGCCACTATAATACTTTCCTCTATCGAATGAAATTATTATTGGACTTTCTTGTTTCTTCCACCAATGATGCTTGAAGGTCGTAGTTATGCGCCTTGTGATGAGCCCACTATAGACCCTTATTGGATTTCATGTGTGCTGATTTCTATTACTCCCTCCTCAAGCTCAACTAAGAAACTAAGACACTGAAGAAGGGGCTTCTATAGTACTATGCAACTTCCCGGCGCAGTTTAAAGCTCAGCACCGCGAACTCTGCCATCAGTCACCTCCACAAAGCTACAGGGGTATTATCCCTGCGCACCCCACTGCTTATCCTACGCACCCAACCACCTCAAATCAAGAAAGTTAGAACAAAGCACAAACGATTCTCACTTTCTCATGGTAATGAGAGTGAAGAAGTGATAATATCATACGTCTCTCTCTCTCTCTCTCCTCTATAGTTCAACTGCTTTACCCTTTAATTCTATCATTTTAGAAGACAATAAAGAAGAAAGACAAGTTTACCCTCCAACTTAACACCATTTTGACAGAAAATTTAACGGAGGACCACATGTGGTTATTTTTTTAAACTTGAAGGACGTCTTGTGGTCGTTTTAAAGTCAGATGACCACATATGATAATACCCCAATACTCAGAGGGCCATTGAAGGTATTAACTCACTTGGCAAGTATGGGAGGGCGTCTCAACACTATAAAAGGGCCTTTCTACCTCCCTTTAGATATCACGGTCTGATCATTACAATACACCTAACCTCGTGGTGTTTGGTCTTGACTTCCAATACAAATACTTGGGTTCGAATTCGAGTGAGTCCACATTATTCCTAGCTTAACAATTATTATTACATGGACCATGGACCATTGTCCAAAATGACGCAAAGTATAATATTCTAAAGAACAAAATACATTATCTTACCCAAAAGATTATATTCATTATCCTAACACATAAAATACATTATTCTAACTCCAAAACGACGTCGTTTTGAGCCGTGGTTCGGTCCACACAATAATTTGCCCTGGCTTAACCATCGTTATAATGCGTTGTGTGCCTTTCCCTGCCTAAAACGACATCGTTTTGTTAAGTTGTGTGGGGAGTTGACGCGACAGAGTTTATGTGTATCCTATTATACAATCAGTGGCGGAGCCAGAAAGCTGGGGTTGGGGGGGCCAAATTTATAGAAAAAATTTATTATCTTAGTCGATATTAGTACTAACCACACAATATTATTATATATATACCATATATGATTGTGCCAATTATTATTGATAATTATTTTTAATTATACTATGTACAATAATATATGAAATATATAATTATATGAGTACGATCGTTAAGATTGTCAAACATTACTTTTGAATTTTTTTTACATAACACAAAAATTATACAATAGTAAAAAATAGGAAAAATTACACTTTTAACCACTAAGTTATAGGGTAATTGAAGAATTCATAATTATTAGTCATGCTTACTTTTCGTCCCTAAAATATACTTCGTAATTGATGTTGCAAATTTCGTCCCTTTACTAACAAAACATTAGGAACGAAGTATAACTTAGAAAGGAAGAGTGACCACAACATGTCATTTAAAGGACGAAATTTGCAACGTCAATTATAGTTTAGAGACGAAAAGTGAACACGACCAACAATTATGGACGAATTCTACAATTATCTCATAACTTAGGGACGAAAAGTGTAACTTTCGAGTTCATTTAATATATACATAATAGATTATTTTTTAAAAAAAAAAATTAGGAGGGGGGCCAAAAGTATAATTTATCCATATTATAATAATATATACCTATATATTTATTAAAAATGGGGGTGGGGTGGGGGGGGGGGGGGAGCCAGGGCCCCCCTTGGGGTAGGGGTGGCTCCGCCCCTGTATACAATTATGTACATTAGAAATAGAAGATTTTTTTTTTAAGAGTTAAGAGTTTATGTGTATTATGTATTATGTTAGATTATGTGTATTATTCTTTCAAAAAAGATTATGTGTATTATGTTAGGAGTTTATGTACATTCTATTATATAATTAGGTACATTCTAGTATACAATTATGTACATTCGAAACATGAGAATTTTTTTTTTTTTTTTGAAGTTAACAGCAGGCATAGGAAATGGAATTTTTAAAAAAAATTATATAAAACGACGTCGTTTTGAACCAAGACGCACAATGCATTGTGTGCCCTAGTGCACGATATAATTTGCCCTAGCTTAATGCTTGGGCTTTATTTGTCATTTATTATTTATTTCTTGGGTCATTCTTTGGGTCAGTATCTCGGGTTTTTATAAGCTTAATACTTGGGCTTTATTTGTCATCGATGATTATTATTATTATTATTATTATTATTATTATTATTATTATTATTATTATTACTTTATCGATTATTTGACATGTAATTAGCTAATCGTGAACAACTAATTTACTAAATACATTTTTACAACCAGCTAATATATATAGGGGCGATTTTAGTATAAAAAAATACAATATCAATTTTATAATTATTCAAGTTTTCAATCTTTATAAAATGAACCCATCTTTTTCGCCTTTTCCCCATATATGGGGTGAGATCTAAGCCATTGATCTAATCTAAAACAATGGCTTATATAGAGGAAAATTTAAACAGATCGCGCTTCCTGGGAACTGGGTTCTACCATTGTTGAACTGATGTACCTTAAGGTTCAAAATTATGTAGTTTAAGTGTAGAATTGATGCACATTAAGTGTAGAATTGGCACAACGTAAGGTTCAAACTGATGCACCTTAAATCTTTAAACATATACACCTTAAGTGTTGAATTGGCGCACCTTAAATGTAAAACTTACGCACCTTAAGTATCAAATGGACGCGCGTTAAGTGTATAATTGAACAAGGTTCAAATTGATGCACCTTAGGCTTTAAACATACGTACCTTAAGTGTAGAACTGACACACCTTGAGTGTAGAACTAACGCACCTTAAGTATCAAACGAACGCACCTTAACCTTTGAACTCACGCACATTATGATTTACAATTACACACCTTAAGTTTTCAACAATACGCAAAATTACCATAATGTCATCGCGTTTTTTTTTTTTTAAATTTATTTTCATTCTGGGATGTTGATTTTGTCAAGATTAATAGCTACAGGAGACGTTTCGCACCTGACCCCCTTTTATTTATATATATATATATATATATATATATATATATATATATATATATATATTCATTTTTTTTTGGAAATGATATATATCCTTCATTTAAATCCTAGAACATATATAAAAAAAAATATGTTGTCTGGTCACAACTTATCTAGTTAATCAATCCAAAATAGATTCATAAACTTTGCTTTGCTAGCTATCAGTCTTAGAGTGCAATGTTTGAATCCTTGTTGTCTTGTGTTCCCATATGTGATCATGCTCACACCACTTTCTGTGCCCCCTCTAGCCTCTAACCTGGCTTTCCGATGCCCTTTTACTTATTTGTTGAGAAAAAAGAGATCAAGAAATCAAGAATAAGAAATAAAAACAGAAGAAGAAGAGTTTGTGTGATTTAACCGGGAGTTTAAGTCCACGAGAGCAAATAAATATTTTATTAATTGTGATGATGATCAAATATTTGGTATGTTACAAGCATCATATTTATAGGTCACCATAATGCAATTCTACATTTACAAAATTACTCTTGTACCACTGTACCGTAATCCCTTCGTGTTGTGCTCCGGTCATTATGTACCCTCTACTAGGCTCTAACACATGTCATTCTCCGTAACACATGAGACATACACAATATTATTTAACTAGTATTTTGAGATTATGCATTCTTTTCTTATTTTTTATTTTTTTCCATTGATTTGAAAAGTAAAATATAATAATTGCCCTTGGTGACCACATGCATACTACAAAATTATTCCAGTCCGAGCCATGATGTATGTCCAAATTAATGGCTATCAACTTGCATCTTTGTTGACATTTTTGGATTCATATATGCGTCAACAATGGCTGCGATGGAACATTATACTATACTATTTATTAATTATACGACGTTACCAACATAGTTCGACCACAAATCATCAATGGCGCTTTTACGCCACCTTCTTCTTCTTCTTGCTTCCCTCTGCTGCACCATTTTCACTGCACAATCCACCGACCCTTCTGGTCTGTTCTGCAACACCGCCAGCAAAAACCTCAACTCCCAAACATCAACAAACATCCTTAAACTGTTAACCAACTTGGTCCCGGCGGCGTCGCGAGCTGGCTACGCCACCGCCGCGTACGGCGGCTCCGGGAACAAAGTCTACGGTCTGGCTCAGTGCCGAGGCGACGTTAGCTCCAAGGACTGCTCGTCTTGCATCCAAGAAGCCGCTAAGGAGATCAGAAAACGCTGCCCCGACCGCGTCGACGCCAGGATTTGGTACGAGTATTGCTTCCTCCGGTACACCGACGACGAATTCTTCGGAGAAGTCGACACCGGGTACGGCATTCTGTACGCTAATGTCGCGAACGTGACGGACCCCGAGAGGTTCAACGAGAAGCTGGGGAATCTGGTGGATGGGATCAGTAAAGAGGCGGTGGTCCCAGAGAACAGAGGGCTGGGGAAGGGGAAGACGAAGCTGTCGGATTTTCTGACGTTGTATGCGCTGGTGCAGTGTACTAGGGACTTGTCGCCGGTGAACTGTGCGCAGTGCCTGGCCATCGCCGTCGGGAACAACTTCCCGGGGTTCTGTAATGACAAGAAAGGGTGCCGGGTTTTATATAGCAGTTGCTATGTCCGATATGAGCTTTATCCCTTTTACTTCCCTCTCGATCCGCCGGAAAAATCCACCGTCGCCGCGTCGGAAGCAAGGAACTACCGCTCAACCGTAGTTCACAAACGTTCTTGATGATATCCGGCATGCATGGTACGACGTAAGGGTGGTCGTCCAGCTATATATATCCTATAATAAATAATTAGTATTATATGTTGTTTGATAATACTTCCTTTTTATGAAATTGATGCATGAAATGTTATGATCTGTGGATACGGTAGTGTGTCCATATCTATATATAGATAAGGGATCAGGTGAGAAATGTCACCCAAGTGAAATATGGGGATTATTAATCATAGTTATTGATCTTGATAAAATTAACAGCTTAAAATGGAGATAAATATATATTTAAAAAAATGGTGATATTATAGTAATTTTGTGTATTGTTGAAAGTTTAAGATGCGCAAATGTGTAAAATTTACCGTGTGTATTTTCAAAACTTAAGGTGCGTAAGTTCAAATCTTAAGTTGCGTCTGTTGGATACATAAGGTGCGTCAATTCTACATTTAAGGTGCATATATAGGTTCTACACTTAAGTGCGTCATTTTAACACTTAAGTGCGCGAAAAAAGCATAGGTGGGGGGGGGGGGGGTAGCATAGTGAGGCGATGGAGTGTCATCCCTCAGGGAGAAGCTCTGATTGCTGTTGTTCTCTTTGCTCCTCTGGTCGCTTCTGGCGAAGCTGTGAGTTCATGAGCAAGTGAATGAACGAGCCATGTTCCTAAAAAAATGAATGGCGACCAAGCATGATTCCCTGGTCGATGAGTCGAAACTTCCCCTTTGTACCAATTTTCCCATGTACCTAGGTAGCAAGTGACTACTACAAGAATAGAATATTCCAAAGCATTCGCTTCTGAAAGAATTTGAAACTTGCACCAGTTTAATTCAACACTTGTACCAGTTTATGGTGTGTATATTTAAAACTTAAGGTCCGTTAGTTTGAAACTTAAGGTGCGTATATTTAAAGTTTAAGGTGCATCAGTTTGAACCTCAAGGTGCGTATGTACAACTTTTTTTCCTTATGAATAACGCCTTCTAGACTTGCACAACTTTTTTCCTTATGAATAACGACTTTTTGAATTTTAGGTGTATAAGTTTAAAGCTTAAGGTGTATCAATTTCCAGCTTAATGTGCATGAATTTAACTCTTAATGTGTACAACTTTTTTCCCTTATGAATTGAATAACAACTTCCAGACTCTGTGCATATGTTTAAAACTTAAAATGCATGAATTTAACTCGTAAGGTGCACAATTTTTTTCATTATGAATAACGACTTCCAGACTCTAAGTGCATAAGTTTAAAGTTTAAGGTGCATCACTAACCAGCTTAAGGTGCATGAATGTAACTCTTATTAAGGTGTACAATTTTTTTCCTTATGAATAACGACTTTCAGACTCTAGGTGCATAAGTTTAAAACTTAAGGTGCATCACTTTTCAGCTTAAGGTGCATGAATTTAACTCTTAAGGTGCACAACAGTTCAATCTTTTTTGTTGTTGGGTGCATCACTTTCCAGCTTAAGGTGCATAATTTTCTCACTGTAAGGTGCATAATTTTCTCACTGTAAGGTGCATAAGTTTGCATTGTAAGGTGCATAATTTTCAACCTTTAAATACATATCATTGAACTTAATATGCATAACTTTGAAAAAAAAAAAAATCCTCCATAATGGACAATTGATCTAGATTAAATTAACGGCTCAAATCTCACCCAATTTTTCACGTAGGAGTTCTTTTCTCACACACACACAATCTAGATGAAGGAATTCTAACTTGGAAGAATTGGTGGAAAGTAATGTCCCTGCATTAACTCTCATGTGGTACAAATATCTTTTGTTCCGTTTGGATATATGTGGTCACGAATTTTATGAAATGAAACACTATATTGTTACATATAATTAATTTCATCACTGCAGGTTAATAATAAATATATAATGTAAAATTATAAGAATTAAATTGTTGCAGTATAAATTAAATAATTCATGTTTTATTTAATATCCAATTATCTCATATTTATCATTTATCATAAAAATATATACTGCCATCTTGTTATTCACATGCATGGTAGGTAAGATTTCAAAGAAATTAAATGAATTGGAGATTTGGAGCACATGAACTTTGGCTACGCTTTGACGCTCCAATGCTATGGTTTATTAATTAGATCATTAAATATATATTAATTAGACCATTATATATATATATATATATATATATATATATATATATATATATATATATATATAGGAGTGATCACATGTGGTCATGTTGTTAGGTGTGGTCATATGGTCAATTATAGGCCATTAGATTAGATAGATCCAATGAATCATATTAATCAAGATTTTTCCATTATTTTCGCGCATAATTTCCTACCCAGTCAACTGCAAGGGTAAACTCGTCATAAAACACCGGAATAGGAAAAATCACATTGTTGTGTGTTTTATTACACTATTAGTGCATGTTGTCAACACTATTGGTGTATTCTTGAACCCGGCCTCTATAAATAGCCACTGTAATTACCATAACACGGGAATACACCATTGGTGTGTTTCACTGTGGTGTGTTTTATTGATCGTTATACCCTACACCACGGCGCACATAGCACTGTGCGCCGCGCGCCTCCCAAAACGACGTCGTTTTGGGAGGCGCGGTAGGAAGTTGCTGGGATTATGTGTATTTGTTCACACAGTTATGTGTATTTGTTCATACAGTTATGTGTATTGGTTCATACAGTTATGTACATTTTTTATACAATTATGTACATTCTTTTTATACAATTATGTACATTCGAATCAGAAAATTTGTGTGTATTATGTTAATAGTTGATGTGTATTATGTTAAAAGTTTATGTTTATTATGTATTATGTTAGATTATGTGTATTATCTTTTAAAAAGAGTATGTATATTTTGTTATATAATTATGTACATTCATGTATACAATTATGTGTATTCTAGTATAACATTATGTACATTCTTGAACAGCGGGTTTTTTTCTAAAGAAAAAACTACTGCCATTCACTGGAGCGGGAAATTTAAAAAAAAAAAAAAAAAAAATTAAAACGACGTCGTTTTGCATCTGGGCGCATAGTGCAACGCGCGCCGTGGTGTAGGATATAAGTTGCCGTGTTTTATTACACTATTGGTGTATGTTGTCAACACTATTGGTATATTCTGGAACCCACCGCTATAAATGGCCACTGTAATTATCATAACACACTCACTTACCAAAACGCGCGAAAATCCTCAGAATTACCACTGTCGTTAGATTAAACTGATTCAACGACACAGATACGACCACACCTAATGACATGACCACATATGAGCACTCTTCTATATATATATATATATATATATATATATATATATATATATATATATATATATATATATATAGTGACGAAAAAAGGGAAACAAGAAGCTGCATAAATATAGTTAAAAGTGTATTTAAAAGCACTTGAAAACCATCCAAGAGCTATTATTGCTTTTCAAATAAAGATGAATATCTCCTTTACATACCATTTTTCAAAGTGTATATATATATATATATATATATATATATATATATATATATATATATATCTTAAAATATCAATTATGAGGCTCGAACTGAATATGGGTAGTAGATCCTCCAAAATTAAAGATTCTAATTACAAGTTATGTTTCTAAAACATAAAGAAAACAATATCCAAAATATTATGAGGCTCGAACTGAATATGGGGAGTAGATTCTCCAAAATCAAAGATTCTAATTACACGCTGTGTTTTTAAAACACAAATAAAACAATATCCAAAATAACAAGAAAAACGATATCCTAAATTTGACTCAAAAAATTTCTATTTGAACTTCTCATAAATGAGATAATGTGTCCTTCAAGTTTTAAACTATACTGAATTTGGACTAACATAACGTGTCCCCCAAATTTCAAACTATATAGGAGTTGGGCCGTCCTCTTGGATCGAGTCCGATCACTTAGGTCGAGATCAAATACTAAACCGTTTGTATCTAACCCATCAATAATAATTGATTTTTTTTTTATTTGACTATAATTTTCTTTAAATAAATCACATACCAAAATTAATCATATTCATGTTGAGTAAAATCTCAAAGAATAACAAAATACTTCATAAAATTCAAACCCAAACCTCTACTACAATAATTATGGGCAAGAATGGTTTAAATTAAATATTTGGGTTTAATTAAACAAAACATTAAGACAAATGGTAATCCGGCGCAGGAAAAGACGCGAATGAATGCGGTAATCACGGAGTGGAATCAGCTAAATTCACTCTTATGTAAAGTATATAAAACGAGCAAAGCGAATTTAGAAATCTTTGATTCTTTTCCTTACAGATAAAGATTACGGGCTGCTGCGTTTACTCTCTCTGTAACCCAGAACTTCTTCTTCTCTTCTGAGCAAGAAAGAGAGAGAGAGAGAGAGAGGGAATGGGGGAGGAAGAAGGGGAGGAGTACCTTTTCAAGGTGGTAGTAATCGGCGACTCGGCGGTGGGCAAATCCAACTTGCTATCGCGGTTCGCCAGGGACGAGTTCGACCACAACTCCAAAGCCACCATTGGAGTGGAGTTCCAGACGCAGGTGGTGGAGGTCGACGGCAAGGAGGTGAAGGCGCAGGTCTGGGACACCGCCGGCCAAGAACGCTTCCGCGCCGTCACCTCCGCGTACTACAGAGGCGCCGTCGGCGCCCTCATTGTCTACGACATCACCCGGAAGACAACCTTTGAGAACATCAAACGCTGGCTCGAAGAGCTCAACAGTATGCCCAAATCCCTCATTCCCATCTTTCTGCTTTAACTTTCTTCGTTGAATTCGTTTCTCTTTACATCAATTTTGGATCTGGGTAGTTTGGAAATACTTAAAGCTGCCAGCTTTACTTGATCTTGAATTCCAGTTTAGATGCCTTCTTTCTCTTCTTTCCTACTTTACCTAACCTGGGCTGCATTTGATAACAATTCTTCAGGTAGTCTTCATTTGATTTAACTCATCTTGGTTGAGAAATTCTTAGATGTGTAATTGTCTGATTAGCTGTTCAGGCATGGTTGAATTCAGAACAAGAACATGATTTTGTGAGTGAGAACTTGCCAGTTGAATTGAGGGCATTTTGTATATTGATCTGAAAGCATGGCAGCTGTGGATGTGTTGGAGTTAGAATCCATAATTCACTGATGATTTATACCTGATTTATACAGCTTGTAGCTTTGATTCTCAAACATGGCAGTTGTGGATGGTAGCCAATTCTATTGTTGTGTATGTCTCATATGATAGGTGTTGGACGTAGGCACATTGCTGAACCACATAAATTTGCTTTACTTTCTATCATTGTTTTCGATTTTTGTTCTCGTTTATCTCAACATCTATAGTAGCTAATTAGGTGCATTATGGAGCATTTTCATCTCTCTCTGCACTGGCTTTTCGATGGTAGTGCTAAAAAGGGTAGTTGATGCATCCCAGATTGGCTACAGGAATCCAGTGGGGTTAAACCTATATACGAATAAGCTAGCTTTTTGTGATGTAGTTAGGGTTAGTTTTTTATATCAGTGAGTTTGGAACAACCACAACGTATAGTTAAAATGAAGATGTGTACTTGCAACTTCTCTATCCTGTCTGAAAAATGAGGAAGGCTTTGATTTCTATTTTGTTTCAGTTCTTAATAGAAGTTGTTTGGTTTATTACCTTTTAACAGTTCAAAATAGCTTTGGGTTTTTGTTCTTCTTTCTCTGTGCGGTCTAAAGTTTTGAACCTTTCCTTCTGTATGTTTGTGTGCTCTTGTATGATGTTAGGCAATTATTGGCAGTGTTTGGTAAATAGTTGTTAGCTGATTGGGTTAGAGGGTTTGACTAGTTGATAGCATTAGCTAATTGTAGAAAGATGTTTGATAAATTAGTTGTCAAAAAGCTAATTGAAAAAACTGCTTTGAGCAGCTTTTTGAATTTTAGCGTTTTGGAGCAATAAGCTATTACAAAAAGCTAATTAATCAAACATTCATATTGACTGTTTAACCAAGTCAAACAGCTAATAGTGGTCAAACAAGTTAAATTGGCCGATAAGCTAACTATGTTACCAAACAGGGCTAATTAACAATTGGCCACTTGGGGTGTTTGTTCTTTTGTCTTTGTGCAGTCTAAAGTTTCAACCTTTCTTTCTGCGTGTTTGTGTGTTCTTGTATGACGTTAGGGGGTTATTAACGATTGGCAGAATGATGGTGCAGCTCATTGTGATACTACGGTGGCAAGGATGCTGGTTGGAAACAAGTGCGATTTGGAGAGCATTCGGGATGTGAGCGTGGAAGAGGGCAAGCTCCTTGCAGAAGAGGAAGGGTTGTTCTTCATAGAGACGTCCGCCCTCGACTCCACCAACGTCAACACCGCCTTTGAGATTGTCATTCGCGACATCTACAAGAACGTTAGCAGGAAGCTGCTCAACTCCGACTCCTACAAGGCCGAGCTGTCTGTAAACCGGGTTAGCCTCGCGAATGGAGCTGACATGTCGAAGCAAAACAAGAGCAGCTACGCGTGCTGCTCCTCCTCCTCCTAGTAATTTTGTTTTGTTTTCCCACGTTGTTTTAGCTGTATGTTAGACTTTTGGATGTATGTTTATTCTTTTTGATGAATTAGGGCAATGAGGGTCTCTGAGGTTGCCTTATGGAATGGCATATTTATTGTATGTTTCTTGGTCAGGCCAGTGAAGTTTCAAAGATGCAGCAGAACAAGTTAACATGCACTCTGCAGTGTTCTTGTTTATTTGGAGTTGGTATGTGAATTTCTTGGTGATATTGTCCGCTCTAACTCCGCAAATTATTATGTGTCTCCTTGCAAGGTGGATCTGTGTCTAAATGTTCATAATTTATATACTAAATGTTCACAATTTACCTTTTAAAATTTACAATTTCTATACTACGAATACATAAATGTTAACATATATGTAATTGATTACCTTGTTTTGTATTCACAATTTCTTTTCAAATATTGCAGTCACACAATATTAACATATTAGGATTTGGTGACCTTGTATTGTATTCACAAATTCCTTTCTACAGCTGTTATGCACACAATTTATATTTTAGAAGTTCACAATTCTAATATTAAAAATATATAACTTATACGTTGTTTAGGACCAGTATCCCTATGGTATAACAACTCCTCTAACTCGGCCGGGTCTTGTTAGGAAGTGCCAAACGTATTAACTCGTGCTCTTATCGTCTCTTTCAAATTGACTCTACAAGTCAGTTACATATCTATTGGTTTTGTTAGGATCCGTTTAACATAAACCTTTTATTAGGGTTGGTCTAATATAAATTTTACCAATCATGTGTTCACGCTTTTTTTTTTTTTTTTTTTAAATTACAAGATGCAAAGACTGATAGACTGATAGATATTGACTGGTGGTACATTTTAAGATCTTATATAACCTTTCAAAGAGAAACTTACAAATACCAAAGACCTAGCACTTGATTAAGGAAATACATAAGATCAAGGTTCAAACTTTGGCAGCGGACAAATTAGATTGGGGATTATGTTCAAAATGAACAGATTCTTTGTGCCCACTGACATTTGCCTCTGTCTATTAGGTCATTGAGTCCTCGTGATTTATATCCTCCCAAATGTTATGTGAAACTGGAGTGTTACGACCCTTGAAGTTAGGATTTCAACCTTTTGAGATAAGGAAATACATAAGACCAAAGATAAGCTTACAAGACTTGGAGAAACATGAGTTGATTCAAATTTCATCCTAACATATCATAAGAAGACATGAAACCTACATGTCATCTTCCACTCCTAAATCATGTTATATCCGTGATCTCTTTTAGTCAATTCCAATATCCCCATGCCCCTTTACTATTCCCTGCACAATCCTTGCTTACCATTCGCCTTCTTAATTTTTCATTAGCCAATCTTAATGATGCACATGTTAATATATATATATATATATATATATATATATATATATATATATATATATATATATATCAAATAGTGTTATGTTATTGTCTTATTGATAGTTAAAATCATACTAGGATTAGCTCCGGATCTTTGCTGCTGTTAGTTCGAGATACACAGTAATATATAACAAAACAGATCGAGTAATTGATCAAAAGGAATTGAATAGATTTGGCTAGTTCTAAAACTATTAGATAGTGTAATGATGATATGTAGAATGAGATGGAAATGTCTAAATGAGCATAACCATATGTTATTTATAGTAACATCAACTATCAATTCCATGATGACAAGTCACAAGTGAAGCTAACTTAGTGAACTCTGGTTAGTGGATGCGGTCATTTGATCAGGTGACACATTAATACTATTAGATAATTATGGAGGCCTAACTCAACAACGTGGTAGACATAGATTAATTTGGACAGATCACTGAATCCATCGACCAATCCAAATCAATTTGATACCTATTGATTGCAAAAATTGGTTACTTTATAACCTTTTGATTTTTTAAAAAAAAATTATAACAAAATTAGGTCTTTGTAACTATAACTTTGTACTTGGAGATACAAAGTAATTAATAATCAAAAAGTAATGAATTTTAAAGTATTACTTATATTAGTGGTTTAGGCGCTGAAAGAATTTAAAAAGTAATATTAAAGTTAAGTTCTTTATCGAAGCAAAATCCTCCTATCTTCTTTCTTCCATTGCCCGGAGTTTCATCGGCAATGGCTCCGGCGACACCCTCCGTCGTTTCCCTAACGCTTGCACTCTCGCTCATCGCTTCTATAATCTCGCCGTCGGCGTCACAGACCTGTTCGTCTCAGACCTTCGCCAACAACAAGCTTTACGCTCACTGCAACGACCTCCCAACCCTCGGCGCCTACCTCCACTGGACCTATAATCCGCCGGAATCCACTCTCTCCGTCGCGTTCGTCGCCGCTCCGGCGAAGGCCGACGGCTGGATCTCGTGGGCGCTCAACCCGACGGGCTCCGGGATGATTGGGGCCCAGTCGCTCATCGCGTTCCGGGATTCCAAGGGCGAAATGACGGTGAAGACGTACAACATAACATCGTACGACGGTATCGAGGAATCCAAGGTGTGGTTCCAAGTGAAAGACGCCACCGCGGAGTCCTCCGGCGGCGCGATGCGGCTGTTCGCCACCGTGGTGCTGCCGGAGAAGGGAAAGACCACGTTCAACCACGTGTGGCAGGTTGGGTCCTCCGTCACCGGCGGCGTGCCCGACAGGCACGACTTTCAGCCCGCCAATTTGAACTCCAAAGGAAGCATCGATTTGTTGAAAGGAGAGAGCAACGGCGACACCTCCGGCGATTCTAGGATCAAGAAAAGGAATGTGAGTTTCCCAAACTACCCTTTGTTTTTATGTTTTTTTTTTTTTTCGTTACTAGGAAAATCACAATCACTACCGAGGTTGAGTACGAGGTAAATTCGACCTTAAGGAGATAAACCAGCTTAGTTTACCTCTTCAAATCAAGAAAATCAACGGACAATTTATATTGAGAGTCAAACTTAAAACCTTGTGGTCAAACCAAAAAGACTAATAAGCTGCTTGATAGATTGATAATTGTGTTTAAGCTTTCCCTATTAGATTTCCCTTTGTTTTATAAGTATATTATGTGCTCAAAAATCTAATCTTTGGGAGATAATTAAGAAGAAAGCCAAAAAGGTGACATTTTTGGTCCTTAACAATTCACCAACACGGGTTTGGGGTTTAAACTTGATGGTAAGTTACATTTCTCCTAAGCAATAAATTAAGATTCCATTCTTCCAAAAGGTTGAACCCCAATCCTAAGGCCCTCCAACACCCCGACCTGACAGAGCATTTGGGAGGATGTAAATCATGGTAACTCAACTGAACATGAACCACAGAGGCTAGACCGTGCTCACTGCGCACAAGATTCCATAAATTAAGGGGCAATTTTGTCTGTTGACTAGGTAACTACAAGGTTATAAGTTTGACTCCTAGCAGAAATGGCCTGTTGCTCAGCATCATCTTCAAACACCATGACCTTTAAAATTTTGTGTGGTGGGGAATGGATGTAAGAGTGTCACATTTTGGAAAGTTATCTAAAATGAAGGGATGGGATCTAATACTGTTTCTTGTTTGTTTTCTTTAGTAATTTCTTTTGATTCTCCTGCTCAAGAATTATAGATGAATACAAAGTTAAGAACATGACAGAAATATGGGCATCTGAACAGCTAAGCCAGACAGAAACCTTGAAACAACAATAATAACAACACTGCAACTTCTGTGACAGATTCATGGGATACTGAATGCTGTTAGCTGGGGGATTCTGTTCCCAGTTGGGATCATAATTGCAAGGTACTTAAGAACATTCCAGTCTGCAGATCCAGCATGGTTTTATCTCCATGTTGCTTGCCAGATTTCTGCTTATTCCATTGGAGTTGCTGGCTGGGCAACTGGTCTGAAGCTGGGAAGCCAGTCCAAGGGGGTTCAGTACACTGATCATCGCAATCTCGGGATTTCTCTCTTCTCTCTTGCAACACTTCAGGTAACTTTCGTTCGATTATGGGTGGCGCTGAGATTCGAACTCATGACTGGCTCTGATACCAAATTGAAGCATGTGCTCCATCTCAACTAAAAGCCTAAGTTGATAGTTGGATTGCACATTAATGGGCTCAACAGATCCTAACACTTGGTATCAAAGCCAGGTCATGGGTTCCAGTCAAACTATGCAGTTAAGGCTAGCAGGTGCTTAGAGGGGAATTGTTGGGCGGAGGCCCTGAAAGGCTAAGTCCACACCTTGCCTCTCGAAAATGTGGCACTTCTGAAGCATATTATGATGTGTTTTGGACTACTTCTGATGCATATCGTGCTGTGTTTTTGGCTCTGGGGATAGATGTTTTCCTTGCTGTTGAGGCCAAAGAAGGATCACAAGTACAGGTTTTACTGGAACATCTACCATTATGGGATTGGCTATGCAGTTGTTGTTCTTGGCATCATCAATGTGTTCAAAGGGCTTCACATACTGGACCCTGCAAAGAAATGGAAGTCTGCTTACATTGTTGTGCTTGTAGTGTTGGGAGGGATTTCTCTGCTGCTGGAAGCGATAACCTGGGTAGTCGTGCTACGACGAAAGTCTAACAAGTCGACCAAACCATACGACGGGTATGACAATGGGGCGGGCGGGCAAGCGCCATGACGGTGAAAGATTCGTAGGTAAATCAATGACGATAGCGAGTGATTGTGTTGATTGTCCCATTTAAGGCTTGCCCTAATCTCTACTTGTATCTTTGTAAACCTCATTTTGCAGGAATTCATCATAAGTAGTTTATAGTGTGTAATATATTCATGTATTTTGATAGTTTTCCATCATTCCATGTCCACTCCTTTGTATATCAAACTGGCTGCCATCTTTGGGCATTGATTTGGTGATGGCCAAAAGCATTTAATCAAGAATCAAGTGTCATCATTAATTACCCCAACATTTAAGGAAGACATAATGCTTTTGCTCCTTTTTCTCCTTACTATATGCATGTTTATAGGACATATGTTTCATGCAAAAGTGAATTATCATGATTTTTTTTGCATATAGCATCTGATATCCCAGTGACTCAAAAACCAATTTAAATTTGGCTCGAGTTTAGCCAACAAAATCTGACTCTTACTTGAGGGAAGACTTAACCCACAGTTTTATAACATAGCGCAAAGCCGCAACCTTATTATAAGAGTCAACCTTTTAACCTTAGAGCTGCATTAGCAATTCAGGAATACACTTACCAAGTGCCCCAAACTATTGAGTTCAAAATTTGAATCTTACTCGAAAGAATATTCGACCCATAGTTCTATAACAT